CAAATCTGTCATCATCATCATCATCAAATCTGTCATCATCATCATCATCAAATCCATCATCATCATCATCATCAAATCTGTCATCATCATCATCAAATCTGTCATCATCATCATCATCATCAAATCTGTCATCATCATCATCATCAAATCTGTCATCATCATCATCATCATCAAATCTGTCATCATCATCATCATCAAATCTGTCATCATCATCATCAATAAATCAGTTGTTTAACGTGTTTTTTATTTAATAAAAACGGACTTTAACTGAATAAAACTTGTTTCAGAGACACGTCAGAAGGGTTTAGGCGCCATTTTAAACATTAAATTGACAAAAATAAAAGATATTTTGTGTTTTTAAAGGTCGGACCGAGGGAAAACTCAGGTTCTGATTGAAACCAGATGTTCGGAGGAAACTTTCCCCGTGTTTAATCCCGGTACCGAACCTTCATGTGAACCCCTGGTTCTGACCAAGAAACAACCAGCTGGGTTCTGGAGGCAGAACTGGGTTCTGGACGCCGATATTCGGAGCTCGTCTCCCGGCAGGCAGCGGGACCACTCACCCAGCGGCGGCCGGCCGCCAGCGAGCCTCCTGCGGCCGAACAAAGTCACCTTCTGCCGGCGGAACAAAGAGGATTTCCCCCGGACTCAGAGGCTTTTGACCCGGTTCGACGGAGGAGCTTGTTACCTTGCTGTGGCCGCAGCCCATGCCTTCTTCTGGGAGCGGTGCTGTCCGTTTCTCCCCGGTTCTTCCTCCGGTTCTGTTTTCAACTTTCAAACTGAGGAAAAAAACTCCAAACGCAGCGCGAGCACAGCGGGCAGGGGGCGGGGCTTACATGTGACGCTTTCACGGACACTACGGAAATGTCCCAACCACAGCGGGGATTTTATTTTCATTATTTTTATTTATTATTTTTACTAGTTTAACCTGTTGTTCTCAGGTGAGAGGAAMTGTGTTGTTCAAAGGTCACCAGGAACCAGATCCAAGCGACACATCCTCTGAGTTCAGACCATAAATAAATTTAAAAAAATCGAAATTATCAATTTTTTTTAAAATTCCCTGTCATTTTTATAAACATTATTGTACAGAGACATTTCTGGGTGGAGTTTGCATTTTCTCTCTGTGCATCATTGGGTTTTCTCCAGATGCTCCAGTTTTCTCCCACAGACCACAAACATGACTGTCAGGCTGACTGATGACTGTAAACTGTCCCCAGGTGTGAGTGTCCCCAGGTGTGTGTGTCCCCAGGTGTGAGTGTCTCCAGGTGTGTGTGTCCCCAGGTGTGAGTGTCTCCAGGTGTGAGTGTCCCCAGGTGTGAGTGTCCCCAGGTGTGAGTGTCCCCAGGTGTGTGTGTGTCTCCAGGTGTGAGTGTCTCCAGGTGTGAGGGTCTCCAGGTGTGTGTGTCCCCAGGTGTGAGTGTCCCCAGGTGTGTGTGTCTCCAGGTGTGTGTGTCCCCAGGTGTGAGGGTCTCCAGGTGTGTGTGTCCCCAGGTGTGAGTGTCTCCAGGTGTGTGTGTCTCCAGGTGTGTGTGTCCCCAGGTGTGAGGGTCTCCAGGTGTGTGTGTCCCCAGGTGTGAGTGTCTCCAGGTGTGTGTGTCCCCAGGTGTGTGTCCCCAGGTGTGTGTGTCCCCAGGTGTGAGTGTCTCCAGGTGTGAGGGTCTCCAGGTGTGTGTGTCTCCAGGTGTGAGTGTCCCCAGGTATGCCCAGGTGTGTGTGTCCCCAGGTGTGAGTGTCCCCAGGTGTGAGGGTCTCCAGGTGTGTGTGTCCCCAGGTGTGTGTGTCCCCAGGTGTGTGTGTCCCCAGGTGTGAGTGTCTCCAGGTGTGAGGGTCTCCAGGTGTGTGTGTCTCCAGGTGTGAGTGTCCCCAGGTGTGAGTGTCTCCAGGTGTAAGTGTCTCCAGGTGTGTGTGTCTCCAGGTGTGAGTGTCTCCAGGTGTGAGTGTCTCCAGGTGTAAGTGTCTCCAGGTGTGAGTGTCCCCAGGTGTGAGGGTCTCCAGGTGTGAGGGTCTCCAGGTGTGAGGGTCTCCAGGTGTGAGGGTCTCCAGGTGTGAGGGTCTCCAGGTGTGTGTGTCTCCAGGTGTGTGTGTCTC